GCTCATATATTCAACTTCCGACCTTGGAAAAATTCTTGGAAAATTCAACAGTGCTATTCAAGGACGCAAGCTTATAATTATGAATGAGGCGGGAATGGCCAGTGGTGAATGGCATAAAGCGAATGACCATCTAAAGTCCCTTATTACAGAAGATTACGTCTCGATTGAGCGTAAGGGATTAGAATTTCAAGAGTGTGGTCATTATCCCGGATTTATGGTTTTAAGTAATCATGATACCCCAATTCGAGTGGAAATGGGGGATGGACGTATTGTATGTTTAGATGTTTCTCCCCGCTGTAAAAGTAACTTCACATATTTCGATCAGTTAGGGGGAATTCTTGAGCACCCTGATACGCCAGGATCATTTATGACATATTTGCTTAATCTTAATCTTTCAGAATGGAAGCCACGTAAGATTCCACCAACTAAAATGAAGGTAGAAACAATGCGAAATCAGCTTTCTAATCCCATTCGATTTATAATTGACCATATTGCATCTTGGGCTGAGAGTAGTGGAATCAGGACCAGTAGCAAAGCATTTTTATACCAAAAATATCTTGAATGGTGTGGGGATAATGGTGAAAAGGCATTACCTAATAACATTTTCGGTAAGAAGCTATCAGAGAAAAATATTACTGAGTATAAACAAGTAAGAGTGGAAGGCGGAAAAAGAGAGTGGCAGTATATCCTTGACCGCTCCAAAATCATAGTCAAGCTTCGTGAACACAGCCTAGGTGATATCGAAGAATTTTCCGATATATCTCAAGCTGACTTACCCACAAACGAGGCCACAGACATACCCATATTCAATATGCCAGAAATAATTCCTCCAAAAATAATCCCGCCTCAGCCAGATAAGAAAGCGGAACCCCCAATCGCCTCAACATCTGGGACATCTGAAACTACTAAGACTTCTGAACCATCTGAGCCAGCAATCGATAAACCTGAAACCAGCAAACCCCCCAAGCCTATTGAGCGTATCAGTAATGTGTTGAAAGCACCCAAACCCAGTAATAATGAAATATTAGCTACAAGAACTCGGCGAGAAGAGCGTCTCAGAAAATGGGCAACCGATCATGGTGAAGACCCTGATAAGTTTATAATGATTACAGAAAAAGACGTCAACTTATCTCGGGAGTATCGAGACAGGATGATGGCGGACGCAGAAGTCATCGAATTTGCTAGAGAAAATAAGATGGACCCGAACGATTTATTTTATATGACTAGAAGGGAAAGGTTAATAAGCGAAGAAATATATCTCCGGGAGTTCGAGGATGTGGGAAAACCCCGGGAGTATATTTACGATGACGAGGAATGGCAAAAAAATGTAAGCATACTCCAGGAGAATGGTATGCTTTGGTAAAGAGCGAATAAGAAGCCGGTTTATAAGAAAGGTGTTTGGGTAAGAGGGTCTTTATGTTCTTTACACATAGGCGATATAAAATTCTAAATTATTATAATTCCATGACTATGTATTTTTTTCGCATATCCCATCTACCCGCAATTTTCAAATATATATAAAATATATCTCGGCCAGAGCTCGTGACCTCTGCATAAGTTATAATATTCTTTTCCCTTTCCCTAACCCTCCGATAGTTTTCACTGACCATGGATGTCAGAACAATTATTTATTTTTTCGAATTGAACTTTCTCCGCATAGTATATACCAAATAATCTAGGTATAACCAAATATCCTACATATTACCAAATAATAACATGGCTGGCATCGCTACTAGATATGTAACAGAAAACGAGCTCAATAACGAGATGAGTATTGAAGAGCTCAGTCGACACGCACTGGCGTTAGACATCCTTTTGACGGATAAAACTAAGAGGGATCAGGCACGACGTCGTTTCAAGAAAGGATACAACTTTAGCGAAAAACAGGTATTTGCATTAATTCCTAAGCAGACGGCTGGTCGGAAAAAAGAAGGAGCCGTTTCCAATACTCTTGATACCACTCAGGAAATAGAACCAGAA